CTTTGACCCAATGTCATTACCCTTAAAACTGCCTGGGGGGGCTACGATAGATTGAAAACAGCCTCCTGCACACAAGGCTGACAATGATTCCAGTAAGTATCAATAAGCAACACAGACTTCCTATAAAAAGATGGGCCCACTTACAGAAGAAAACCCCTGCACCTGCAGTTCCTGCTTACTTGCCACAACTAACTTGGTCAAAATCCTTTTGCAGTGGCCGTTCATGCATTCATGTCCAGTGGTGCCGGCCCAGTGCCAATATTGGTACAACAGCACATCAGGGTGACAGTTATGTTCTTATAGAGTGACCAGCAACTTTGGGATAGTGAGACAGACATGCAGACGAATTTCAGAAGCTCTAATTTACACCCACCCTTTGCAACCTGGGATGTAGATCTTGACAGGCTGCTGACTGGAATGGCAAGAGTGACTGCCACAGTGCAGAAATTTTACGTAGCCCAGTCTTCGCAGCATGACTGCGGGGCAGCGATGCAGACGGTCAAACGTGTGGAGGAGTGCACAATAAGAAGATTAGAGGGTAGATTGCAGCATCTTGCTATCCTTGATGATGCAGCAGTTAAATGACTGAATAATCTAGATATTGACTTGTGACGCACATCAGAGAAGAGGCTGAAACAGCAAACTTGCCATTTGAGGGTGAAAAGATAGAGATTTTAATAGGCTTACTTTTAGAATTTGTATGGAAATCAGATATCAATGTGATGTGAGGTATAAATGCCTAAATAGAACAGATAGGTAGCTTGTTTTAGTAGAACGTTATCTTGTATGCTATCCATCCATCTTAAATGTTTCATTCTCAATGTAGATGAAGCTCAGCAAGCCGAAGCAAGCCAAGTACTGAACGCAATATTAGATATCAAAGAACAGGCACCAAAGCAACAACCTGCTAAAACTGCCAGCGTTGTACATGCTCTTGCAATGCTTCATTACTTGATCTTGGATTTACCAAAGGCAAGTTCGACCGAGTGATTGTTTTTGTTTTTAATTAAATGCCTTGGAGAATGCATAATTCATGGAAAACAGTATTCTACTGCTTTCTAGCAAATATAGCCACATTCCAGTACACCGCTACCTCGATATAACGTGACCCGATTGTAGTAGTGTTCGGCCGAGGTTCGGCCATCAGCGGGGCTGTGGGGTGTCCCACCACCTTGCTCTGGTCTGGCGGCAGCCTGGGACAACAGGCACACCGTTAGGGCCTCTGGCCCGTAGCAGGGGCTGAGCCAAGAGGTCAGAACCCAGGCCCTTAAGCCAGGGCTGAGGCAAAGTCTATAGCAACCCAGGCCCTAGGTCAGCAAACAAATAGTCAAACAGCGGCCCAGGCCTTGTAGCAGGGGCTGGGTCAGTAGCAAATAGTCGAGAGGCTTGGTACCTGATTTAGGCCAGGGGAAATGGGGGGAGTCTGCCACCCAAGGAGTGGGTGGCAGGGGGAGACGCAGGCCCTCCCACTCCACTGCGTCCCAGCCTGGGGCCCTAGCAGCAGCGGAAACTCACTGCTGTCAGTGGGGATCCTGGCCGCAACACACTGACATAGGCTTTGGCAGTGCAGCAGCCAGACTGGGGTCGGCTGCCCCCGGGCTACTTCCACTCTCCCCCTCGTATGGTACCTGGGCCGTCTTAGTGTCGTCGGTGCTCTCCACCAGAATTGGCTCCTCTGGGTAGGTAGCGAAGGGCAGGCTCGGCTCCTCCTTGGGGTACCTGGCACGGGGCAGGCTTGGCCAGTCCCCCTCGGGGTACCTGGCACGGGGCAGGCTTGGCCAGTCCTCCTCAGGGTACCAGGCGAGAGGTAGGCTCGACCGGCCCAGTGAGTCAGCAGGCCGGTTGCGGCCTGCAGTTGTTTCCCAAGCGGGAGCTTGGCCACGGACGTCTGCTCTCTTCGCCGGCCTGGCCTCCACTAAGCTCTGCAGGCGGGCTTTTATACTTCCGGGTCGGGGCCGTGACCTCGGAGGGGCGGGCGCTGGACCCGGTGGCTCTGCCCACGTTGGTATTAGGGGAGGTTCAGCCGTCAGCGGGGCTGTGGGGTGTCCCACCGCCTCGCTACACCCATAAAACACGAATTCAGATAGAACGCGGTAAAGCAGCGCTCCGGGGGGGTGGGGCTGCGCATTCCGGCAGATCAAAGCAAGTTCAATATAACGCGGTTTCTCCTATAACGCAGTAAGATTTTTTGGCTCCCGAGGACAGCGTTATATCGAGGTGGAGGTGTATTTATTTATTAATTTTAAATACCTAGGAAATTAAATTTAAAAATACGATGTTAATGTTAAAGTTACAAAGCAAAGTACTCAAACATCAGGTAATGGCAAGTTAAAGTTCCTTATACAATTTAGACTCTGTGCTTTTGTGCAGATGCATTACAGTACAGTCTTAATTGCATGATTACATACCACTTTTGGTCATTCAGGACACAGATTGGATGTTGTGCAGTGAATGAGACAAGGGTTCTACATATGAGTGCCTGATTTGGGGCCATTGTTTTTGCAGTTATCATGGTGTGAATGTGGATTCATTCAGTCCGCTGAAGTCAATTTTGAATTTGCACTAGTGTATTTGAGAGCAAAGGGTTAATATTTTCAAATGTGTCAAGGTGCCTCTATTTTTGGGCATCGATATTTTAAAGGGGATTGATTTTTGGAAAGTGCTGAGCAATGCCTATCTGAAAACCAGACCCCTTTAATTTGACTCAAGTTTGGCATCCAAAATCAACAATCACTTGTAAAAGTCTTGGCTTTTGTGCATGAGTGAGGCTGGGGTGTATTACTGATAAGGTTGGTGTCATTTGTGCATCAGGATGAGGTCATGTCACAGTCAGTATGTGATCCTGTTATTCAAGACTGTATCAGAATATTTACAACCAAGGGGGCAGAGTTAAGGTTGCACAAGTTGAAAATTAGAGATGGGTAAGACTTCCTTATGAACGGAGATGGAAACAACTGTTTAGTTTGGAGAGGAAGCCAGATGGTAGAGTTATGCAAAATAACAAATAGAGAACGTAAATACAAGAACAAAGACTTTTAAGATGTTTGAATTAAACATAGTTTAATTTTTTGATTAAAAAATGTGCATGATACAGTATAAATGAAGCAAATGTTAAATGGATTGAGAACTGACTAACTGATAGATCCAGAAAAGTAGTTGTATTTGGGGAATCATAATATGTGATTATGACAGAGATTGATGGAGTGGTAAACGATGAGGACATGGCAGTCATACAGAACAATCTTGGTGAGCTGGGCCCATTCAAACAAAATGTTTTAATACTGCCAAATGTGAGGTCATGCAACTGGTTACAAAGAATGTAGGCTAAACGTACAGAATAGGGGACTGTATCTTAGAAAGCAGTGACTCTGAAAAGGACTTAGGGGTCATAGTGGACAAACAAATCAACATGAGTTCCCAGTGCAATGCTGTGGCAAAAAGGGTCAATGCAATCTTTGGATATAGTAGTAGTAGTAGTAGGGTTCACCTCTGCATACAGCATACATATTCATGAGCCCAATATTGGAATACTGGGTACAGTTCTGATATCTCAGATCTTTAAAAGGTTGTTGAAAAAGTGGAGCGAGTGCAGAAAAGAGCCACAGAAGTTATTTGAGAAATAAATGCCTTTTAAAGAGCTCAGTCAGTATAGATAAACAAGTGACTTGATTACTGTATAAATACCTTCACGGGGAGAAAATATCAGGTACTGCTGGGCTCTTCGGTCTAGCAGAGAAAGGCAGAACAAGAAGCACTAGCTGGCAATTAAAGTCACACATTCAAATTAAATATAAGGCACAATTTTTTAACAGTGAGGGAGATTAACCATTGGAACAAACTATCAGAGGAAATGGTGGATTCTCCATCTTGCTTGATGTCTTCAGATCAAGACGGGAGGCTTTTCTGGAAGCTACTTTAGCCAAACACAAGTTATTGGGCTCAGTGCAGGGGTGAAATTCTCTGGGCTGTGTTATGTAGAAGGTCAGACTAGATGATCTGTCGGTTTTCTGGCCTTAACATTTACGACTCGATGAAACAAAGGCACACTCAACTCAATGGAATTGAAAGGCCACACGTTTAAAGCTTAGAAAAGGAAATGTTTTTTTACACAATACAAAATTAGCCTATGGAACTTATTGCCCTATGATAGCATTGAGGCCAAGATTTCTGCAGAAATCAAAGATTGGACACTGATAAAGATACTGAGAACATCTACAGCTCTATTGGACGGGATTAATAATGTTAGTACATAACAATATATCAACTACATTGTCCACTGATGAAAAGCAGCTCAGCGCTATTGAAGTTGATGTCGATGTCCCAGTTTACCTCAGCAGAAAGTTTGGCCCTCTGATTTTAGAAGGGATCTGAACCCTCCTGCTTCATAGCATAAGCCACCCATTAACCAATGGGATCGCGAAGAAACGTCTCCTATGGGCACGTTATTCAATACTTGCCCACTAGGAGGTTTCTTACAGCTTTCTCCAAAGCCGCTTGTGTGCTGGCTGCTCTCTGAAACAGGATAATGGACTAGAAGAGCCTCGGCTCTGACCCAGTATGGCAGTTCCTAAGATCCTGTCTATAGTTTTCCTACCCTCGTGAGAAAAGGCGGTGTCACTATTTCATGGCAATTATTTTGTATATTTTTTTAAATGTCGTTTCAGGCTCATGAACTTGGGATGAAAGCTTTTCTAATAGCCAAACAGCTGCCAAACCAAGATGCATCAGAAGCTATTCATCGTCTCTTAAAATTGATTAAATCCAAACTTTGCTACACAAAATAGGGTCTAGTTTCTTCACCTCCATCTTTTCAACTAGATGGCATTATGAACGTCATACTTTTGCCTGCTATCACCTGTCTAGAAACAGTCTCTGTATATTTGTTTGCTTTTATTAAAATTACACTTTATACCAGTTTTAGTTTATTGTAGCAGATTTGATTTTATATGGATGGTGGTAATGTATAACAATGTAGCAGAGTAGGAAATGAGAATACGATCAAAACAGGGTTAACAACTATAAAACAGATGTGTACCCGATACTATGAACAAGCAAAACATGCTACCATTTCTCTATGCTGTCCCTCTGAAAAGCTCTTAGTACAGTGTATTTCAGTGGTGGAGATGAATGTTGTGTCCTTGTTCTTCTCTTCAAATGTCTCAATTTATAGCTTTCAAATATGTTCAAGCAGACAGCTTTGAGGAGGCGTTTAAAGGGCTTGTGATCTGGACACAGAGAGGAAAGGTTGCCAGGATTACTGCCAGACAGCATGCCTTGTACAGAGCATTGCTGGGGAAATGACTTATGGGAAGGCACTGTCCCAGCTCAGCCCTGATTTCCTCCCACCCCTCCCAGTCGCCTTTCAAATCTGCAACTCTACCATCCCCAACCAGCAGGACTGTGAAGTCCTTCACCTCTTCTGTTGCCCCACTCTCTGTCCCTCTTTCTCCCCCCCACTTTGATCCGGACTAGATGATGCCTTGGTATTTGAGGTCACATCCTTCTCCCACAAGCAGAGTTACAATCTAGCAGTGGGTACTCTGCACCGTCTGCCACAAGCCACGAAATGACTGAGAATCAGGAGATGCAGTCCCTAATGTAACATTTTAATAATAATTGTCATGGTCTTTCTGCACCCCATTCTAATTCTGGGGGTATATTGCTCTCAGCGAGTCATCTTAATGGAGATTCTCTGTCTGTGACACAACTATTTTTTAAATTCAGTGATAATGAGGAAACAAACCTCTCATTGCTATGGGATATGTGGAGAATACATGATGGTATGGTATAAAGGACGATCAGCATGTGTTTGGGATGGACGCATTACTTCCCACCAAATCCACGATAAATCTTTAATACCACACCACAGCATCCCATGGTTCTGTATATACCACACATGGAACTTACTATAATAATGCTGTAAGGAGTTTGGCTAGTTTTTCCTGGAACTATTTTCTGTATTCTGCATATAAAGGTGCTTTAGGCCATGCCTACACTACAAACTGTGGTTGATAGGGGGAGGGATAGCTCAGTGGTTTGACCATTGGCCTGTTACCCCCCAGGGTTGTGAGTTCAATCCTTGAGGGGGCCATTTAGGGAT